GAATTTCTCATCTATCAAGGGCAGGTTATATCTGTTTATTTTTCCCATAACCTAATTTTCAAGGCACTAGTGGTTATGGCTCCAGTTGTGCCAAGACTCTCCCCATTTTAAGGAGTCAAATCAATTTTAGCATGGTTTAAATTCATACCTGGGGTCTGACAGGCACCACTCACCACCTCCGTTATTTCCTATGGAGAGCCAGGAGCTTTTAAGCAGAAGCTTCTATTAGCTTGCCTGAGCTAATCTTGCAGGACTAATTCATTGGCTGAGAGCATCAGAAGGAAGTAGTGTGTAGTAATTGAGGAGCGACCCAACGTTAGAAGTCAAACTATTCGATAAAGGTTAGACTTCTTACAATGGGGAGGTGCCAAGCGCACCTGGCATTGTAACCACTACATCTCTGACACGGCTGTGTTTACATTGAAAATCCTGCAGGGACAGACTATACACACCAGAAAAACTACATTAAGCTATAGTTGCTCTGGTGACCATAGTGTCCCTTTAACCCCTTAAGGACACCCGACATGTGTTACATGTCATGATTCCCTTTTATACCAGAAGTTTGGTCCTTAAGGGGTTAAAGAAACCTGCAAACACGGCACTATTTTGTATTCCTAACTCTACAGAATTCCAATAAGGGACGATGGGTTGTTTGTATATTCCTTGCACAGCACCCCAATAATCTATCATTTCTATAGCATTACCTGGGGCGAGTTAACAAAGAAGTGTCAGCAGCAAAACTAGTGACAGTTCCACTTTAAGAAGTACATGCCTCTTTCCTCCTTACAATTCCTGGGCCAAGTGCTAATGAACGAACACTCATCATAAAACATATATTTAGTGCTTTTCTCTGAAATTACTACAATGCTCTCCTAATAAATTTATCCCTATATCTTTTCTGATATAAATTATTCATCTAAACGGTGTGGATTGTGAAACAACTTGTAATCTATAGTTAAAATTTCATCTGCACTGTAGAATCACACAGTTTAAAAATATGTTAATGTGTTTTTTTATGTGCTATTTCTGCTTTTCCAATGTACATTTTATTTACATCATTGGCAATGACGATACTTTCATTCTCAATTTTAAGCACTTGCGCAAATAAAAAAAATATAGATGCAGTGATCATTGTAGCAACTTTATTTTCCTTATGCCGTTTTATTTTTTTAGAATTGACTTTTTAGAACACGGCTCTGTATCTTTAATGCTGAGTAGATTATCAAACAAAAATATTAAATATTATACAATTACTGTTTAAAGAGACTTCCATTTACTATGCTTTAGAGTTTTATTTTTTTTCTGGTAGGAAATATAAAAGAAGCCTATTATTTACAGCAAGGATTAAGTCTTCTATTTTGTCATCATTAGACAGGGTTTGCAATTGTTTTCTCTAACTAAAGCCTTCAATATTGTCATCTTAGCGGACAAATGGATGTCATATGGCAGAAAACCAAAAGGGATATTCAATTCAAATCATATTCTTTCCATTAAACAGTAGTGTTAAAAGGAAATAACAAATTCTACATTGAAACATCATGAGGGGCAGTAAATTATATGTTGAACAATGGATATTCCGATACAATGACCCAGAACTCATCAAAAATCTGATAAAATTGTCCGCAACTATATTTTATTCCTGTTCTATTCTCTGAGCCTATTGGGTAGCTTGGGGTAATAGTTATGGGGAAAATATCTATTTCACATGCAATTCAATAGCACATGCAGTGGAGCATAGATCACTAGTTAGAAATAATATATCTACTTCTCATATACACATACATAACTATACACATCAAATTGTGTGGATATCAGTATTTGAAGATAGTATGTGATGTATTGAATAGGTTTCATTTTAACTTACCTGCATGCAAACATATGCTGGTGTCTAACTAGGTGAAAAAATATTAAAAGTTTCTTTTGGCATGTAATAATATTTGAGGAGCTACCACACTAGTGGACACTCTCCCTGTGATCCACAGAGGCCTGGTGTTAGATTTGTTTTTCAGCTGCCTTGCACCCCTAACCCCCCCCTTCCCCCATCTCCCCAAAGAAAAATGTTGTGTCTCATTTTTCCATTCCACAGTACCTTCTGTGTGTCTCTTCCCCACCCCAGCAATTTTGTAGATCTCTTTCTCTCCCCCAAGTCCTTTATGTGTCTCTTTGTCCCTACAAAGCAGCTGTCTGTCAGACCCAGTAGTAGCTTAACTAAAACACAGCTGACTTGGAGATTTTTTCTAATATGGTTATTTTAGAAAAAATTTAAAAAAAAAAAATTACCTATTAAAAAAAATAGCATTTAGAAGTAGTTATGAGTGTAAAAATAATCCAACCTGCCCTGTTTGAATGTGAATTGCTTGAGTACATCTACATTTTACAGTAGACCAGAGGGACAATCATTTGTGAAGATTTTGAGTAATGGCCATGTTTTGCATTCTATCTAGATTTTAATTGGCCAAGACGCAGAGTAAGGTAATCTAGTGTAATTCAAATCTTACCCAATCCTCAAATACCCCCTACCAGTCCAGGATTGTGGATTACCCTGTTGTGTCTAAAGTATTTTTTCTTTTCTTTTTCTAAAAACCATACACAACTGGGTAATCCCTAAATCCAAGACTTTTAGGGGGTACTTGAGGACTGGGTTGGGAACCACTGCGTTAGAGGTATATTATCCCTGAATCATGCTTATTCTGTAATTGGATCAATGCACCTTAATTTTAGCAGGATGTAGCCCAAATTGATTACTTTCATAGGATATTAGTCTGTATAAATCTAAACTCTCCTGTAACTCTTTTCCCTCCTAGGGGTTTAACCTACACACAGTACTACATTTACAAGACTAACCAGTAACTTATAGTGCTACCAAGATTAATTTATGGAGCCAGTAAGGAAGATGTTAGTACCCCACATGTTTTACAGCAAATTGTTACATAAAATAAAATATTTTTTTTTTTTAGTTTGGCATGAATTGAATATTCCAATGGTTTTTGAGCACATTCACACAATAACAACCCCTTATTTGTAACAACCAGTGACAAACAAGAGTATATCATTCATACATTATCCCAATGACATCTGAGCAGCAAAATACACAGCAATATATCATTTTGCACTAGAATTGAATTAATGAAAATACAAGTTGGTATAAGCCTTTCTATATAATACCATAAAAAAAATACATTGATTTGCGGTCTGTCTTTGTGTGTAACTTTCATACTCTTTGGTGTCATATCGTATGTGTTTGATCATCTCTCAATTTTCACTGTACATTTTCTGTAGAAAATATCATTGCCTTAAACAATTCTGCAAATGAATGAAACCTTCGCGAGTGCTAGTTCCTGTTTCGTTCTGGATGTAAAACAGTTGGATACATGAAAGCATTTGTTATGTCTGTCATTGATCTTATTAAACAATATCTAATAAAACATTCAATTTGTTCCTGCCCTAAAAGATTTACAAATCTGCTTAAGGCAACAAAATGAAATGGCAAAGGCATTAATATTGACACATAATTCCTCACCCTATTCCCGACTGAGAAGTAAAGGAGTTCATTAGCTTGTTAGTTCCAGGGTCAACTGGTATTGTTAAATAGTCTTTAGTCATATTCATTTAAAGTCCTAGTAAGGGTTTACCAAGAGCTGGAAACACAAAACCAATGACAGAGCTAAAACTTTAGTCACATGCCCAGTACATTACGAGAAACAGTGCTGTATGTTCAGGAAAGAGAGATACACTATACATATAAGAAAAAAAAATTACACACTTTTGGAATATCCTTCCACCCATCCACCCACCAATCTATCCACCCACGAGATGAAATGAAAAAGAATAAGATTGCACATATCCAGGGGACTTTGCAAAGAGTTGCGATACAAGACAGGGAATTAAATGAATAATTATATCCTGTAGATCTTTACATTTAGATTCTTTGAATTTAAAATTCTAAAAGTATTTTTATCTACAGTGTTCATTGTGAGTCAAGATAATCAAAGATGTCCAGGTTCCATGAGAATATGGTGGTTGTGTGGCTACAGAAATTCCACTCTTCAATAACGCACCTCTCCCCTCACAAATGTTAAATGTTGGCAACTATTGTCTATTTGCATTGAATGCCTTTTACAAAGAGAAACAAATGATAATGGTAACTTCTTATCACACGAAATAGCCTCCACTTTCCTTACTGCACTATTTGTGCCAGTATATTATAATGACATACTGTAAAGGCTGTGTCTCCCTCTTTCCTTACCACGTGTTCAACTGTAATACTGAATGTTTTAGTTTTTTTAAGTATTTGCATATGAGATTTTGAGATGTTTACTCATCTTTAACGCCTTCCTTTGTATCCCAGTGTATACAAACATAATGCAAGACTGTTGCTCATATTGTTATATGGATATACGCAGACTTGTATTTATATCCAAGATAAGTAATGCAACAATTGTATTAACTTTAATTTAATTAAATAAGGTAATGTTTAAAATATTTGATCAGCTGCTAAGCAAAGCAGTCTTTTACGACAACAGATCATAGGGCAACAGTAGGTAAAGTCATTTCTTGATGTACAAAAGCTTACAAGGCTCACTGGTGCAGTGCAGAACACAGATGAAAGGTTGGACTCTGAATAAAGCAGTGGATATGTTTGTACTACAATAAGAACTTGCACTGCACTTTTATATACAGGGATGCTTGACTTGTATAAGCAAGTACTGATTTTATATTTATTTTATTCACTTAGTTTTTTTGGGAAGCTGCCCCTAATGTCTATTAATACATTGCTCCACACTCTCTTATAGACATCAATGGGTTTCTATGGTCGAGTATTTAACAGCACAAACACTGATGATCTGCTCACTTCTCAGGACAGTATTGTTAACATATGTTTAACACTTCATTATCATATGCAGAGTAGTGATGTCCCAAATGGTTCGCGAACGGTTCACCACGAACAGTTCGCCGTAGACTCATCATTGAGTAAACTTTGACCCTGTACCTCACAGTCAGCAGACACATTCCAGCCAGTCAGCAGCAGACCCTCCCTCCCAGACCCTCCCACCTCCTGGACAGCATCCATTGTGAAGCTGCATTCTTAGTGAGCTGTCCAGGAGGTGGGAGGGTCTGGGAGGGAGGGTCTGCTGCTGATTGGCTGCAATGTGTCTGCTGACTGTGAGGTACAGGGTCAAAGTTTACTCAATGATGAGTCCGCAGCGAACCGTTCGTGGTGAACTGTGGCGAACCGTTCAGCGAACAGTTCGGCGAACAGTTCGGGACATCACTAATGCAGACACATCATGTCCTACTCTTTGAAGAGGGAAAGAAATCATTTATTTGATAGAATTTAATATACTTTTTTTTTCTAAGATTATTTTTGCATAAGATTCTACACAATGTCCTGTACCTGATGTGCGTGAAATCTGTGTCTGTGTCTTTTTTTTTTTTGCTCTGGGTCTGCCTTCAGATGGTTCAGAATAATGAAATAAAAGCATTTTAAGGATAATGTAAAATATATATTTTATCAATATTCTTATGTGCCATATGCTTCTTCCTAATAGAACAGTGTGATGCCTGCAAACTTCATGAGATGTTACTGCCATAGGGCATTCTTTTGTACTTTCAGTCATTTCATTGATGCATAGATAGCAGACTCAGAAGAAGATACACATGCAGCTGTCTAGAGGTTACACAGAACTGTAGACACTAATTCAGATATGATGCAACCAATATGCAGGTTATTTTATACTGCATTTCATTGGCATGTTAGACAATTTTTTTATTAACATCAAATAATACCATAGGTCACTAGTAATAAAATGAATAAAGCAGAATGAAAGGTTTGTGGTGTGTGCTTGTTTATATGTTACTGGTTTGAGCCCATGAGCATTGTATCTTGTATTTTAAAGTGACACTTAGACCTAATTTTAATATTGTTGGATAAGGTTTCCAAATGATTTAATATTTTTGAACAAACATTTCAAATTATTATTCAACATATTACAATAATAAAAAATATATCATGTAAGAACAATACTAATTTACCTATGTTTTCAATGTGAGCTGAGCAAATCCTATGAACTCCTACACAGTAGCAATTCTGTTCTTCAGAATAAATAAGTGAAAATACCTGCCTAAGGTTATTTTATGTCTACTATTAGTTTATAGAAATATAGAATGTGACGGCAGATAAGAACCATTCGGCCCACATAGTTTGCCCAATTTTCTATATACTTTCATTGGTCCCTGACCTTATCTTATAGTTAGGATAGCCTTATGCCTATCCCACGCATGTTTAAAGTCCTTTACTGTGTTAAGCTCGACTACTTCTGCTGGAAGGCTATTCCATGCATTCACTACCCTCTCAGTAAAGTAATACTTCCTGATATTATTTTTAAACCTTTGTCCCTCTAATTTAAGACTATGTCCTCTTGTTGTGGTAGTTTTTCTTCTTTTAAATACAGTCTCCTCCTTTACTGTGTTGATTCCTTTTATGTATTTAAATGTTTCTATCATATCCCCCCTGTCTCGGCTTTCCTCCAAGCTATACATGTTAAGATCCTTTAACCTTTCCTGGTAAGTTTTATCTTGCAATCTATGAACCAGTTTAGTAGCCCTTCTCTGAACTCTCTCTAAAGTATCAATATCCTTCTGAAGACATGGTCTCCAGAACTGCGTACAATACTCCAAGTGAGGTCTCACCAGTGTTCTGTACAATGGCATGAGCACTTCCCTTTTTCTACTGCTAATACCTCTCCCTATACAACCAAGCATTCTGCTATGGTATCTCCCGTTCATGGTTTTGCGAAAGAAAAAACTGTATGAAAATTGCAATGATGGGGACTTGTATAGCAGAGAACTTGTTAGTGCAGTTTACTATAAGTACTCAGATGGCTAGTGGGGAACATAAACTTAATCCCGGCATATACTTATGCCATGCTGATATTGGCCTTGATTTACTGTTGCTGTAAAAGCTTACTACATGATTTAATGTTTTGGGATATATTTTTTAAATATTTTTTTCCAACATATTGAAATATCAAAAAATATATCATAAATAAAAAAAATGTAAAAAATTTAAAATTACAAAATTCAAATATTTGTCATAATATCAAATCATTTTAAAAATGCATCCCAAAAATATCAAATAATTTATAAAGTGTATCCAACAATATTACATTAAGGACATAATCTTTTTAGAAATCATGCTTGTCATCATTGGATTGGAAGCAAGCAAGGGAGGGGTTTAAGATTTCATGATTTTCTGATTCTACTGGAAAATGAAAATATTAATACAATCTAAACAAGATAGGTTAAAAAAAATCTATACTCTTTATAACAATATAAAATAAACTATTTTTAGAACAGAACATTTTAGCATACAATTTTCTTAGATGACGTGCAAGCACTTTTCTTAACTTTTGCAAAGATTAGTAAATCCCATAATTTGAATACTTGAATGACAGCTTGTTATTCTAGTTTATACTTCTAGTTTCCACTGTGACGAGATAAAAAGAGAGAGCTAGCATGTTAAGAAAATAGTTTTATAGGATTTTTCGGTTTATTCTCATTTCAAAAAACAAACAATTCATTGAAATCAGGAAGGTAGCTTAACTGCTGCTAAGGATTGCAAACAGTCGATTACGGACCTCTTCTTGCATCATATGCGGTACAGAATGACATTTTCATCTAGCCTGGGATATACATGCATGGATCAATTTATGACATAATTAAAGATTTTTTTCTGTGCAGGATTTGAGTTTTCAAGATTAGGATAATTTTCCGTCTCATACTAATATATGAAGTGGAGTGTGTTTAATGCAGGTTAACCTTATAAAATAATCATAGCACCTTGATGCACTTAGAACTACTTCCTAATACAGCATGTCTTGTACTGGGCTGGATGTAACATGCTATGGCTATGTATCACCATTATGTCAGATTATATCAAATGCCGTGTTTAATTTTTTTACATTCTTATGCATGATTAAATATTCCGCATCCTTTCTTTCTCTAAAACACAGTGGAAGAAGCATTATGCCAACAGATGTTGCACTCTCTTTCCTTAGCCTTGTGAAAAAATAGAACTGATTAGTAGACATGTTGTCAAATATGTTCTACTGAATTTTAGGACACTTTCGATGTCTCCATAGAGTGAGATGTATGTTTCCATATTGCGAAATTCATGCATTTAGCAGCATACCTCCCAAAATCTCAGACCCTGAGTGACAGCGTCAATTCTGTATCTCTTTCCCACTGCTGTGAGTTTTGCTCATGATAAATATAGTTGGCACCTGCCTTTGGGAGGTTACAAGAGGGCATTTTCCGTGATATGAATGCACATAGTGTTATGTATACCTCCTTCTACCCTGTTCATTTTTTGGCAATTATTATCTACAGGTATGGTGATATAAGAACAACTCAGAGGCTTTGACAGAAATCTCTCTTCAGCTTTCTTGTTTGTATTATATATGTATCAGAGGTCTTGTTAATCAATAACTAACCCCCATAAGCAATAAAACATGATGCAGTGGTTATGGTGCCTGCAGTACCATTACTGCAACCCATGATAAAATGTCAAAGCTTTTTAGCATGGTTTGATAACTTGTGTGGGTCATGCTAGGTTCATACACCACATCCATCTGGTTTTCGCCAGCAGAGGAAGCCAGATATCACTTTAGAGCAAAGCTGGACCACAATCATTTGCTGATAGCATCACTTGCTTTCTCTCAATCAATGATTTCAGTCCTGCATCAGTCTAAAACAGATTGACATCTCACCGAGTGATAACACCAACACATTCCTAGCACCATAACCATTAAAATGGACTGTAGTAGTTATGGTGCATGGAGCATTCCTTTAAATATAAACAATGACATGAAAGGTCATGGCACAGTGTATTTACATTCTACATGATCATTATTTCAATAGGTAGACCATGTTTAAGAATGCCGGCTTCGGGGAAATTACTCCCACAAATCTTGGGCAGCACTGCATTTGATTTTGTGTGTTTTCAAAGGAGTACTTCAAACACCATGACCACTTCACTGATTTGAAGTGCTTATGGTGCCTGGATCGGGGTGTCATGACCAAGCCCAGAACAGTTCCACATTGGCTAATGTGGATTTGGTGCAAATTTAGTGACTGACGCCAGTCGTGTCCATGTCCTCCCCTGAGTCCTACCTCCCTGAACTCCCCCTCCAGCAGGGGCAATAAATGTCAGCCAAAAAAGATCATGCTGAGGGAGAACTTAGCACTGGAAAGGAAGGTGAGTTTTTGTGATGTTATTTTATTTTAAGATGTGGGATGGACCAGTAGGGTTACTCTATTCCAAACAGTGTTTTATTATACTGTTTATTTACTGTTTTTTGATTGAAGCAATCTTTCAAGCTGCTTGTCAGAAAAACAAGGACAAATACCAAATGAGCAGCAGCTTGCTAAGAAGAAACTCCATTAACCACCTGTTCCTAGTCAGCATTTTGTACAACTTGATCAGCTGGGAATCTGTTACCCATCCATACTATTTGCTGTGCAAGAGAATTTGTAAGGCTCAGTAGAGATGCGTAGAACACAATGGAATATCACGTTAATCTATTGATTAATAGTGCCAAGACTGAAGTCAGCTTGCAGTATATTAAATAACTATTTTTAATAGATAAACTTTCAAGAGTACTAGTATTTTATATGCACTAGTCTGCTGTATGGGTTGGTACCCTAATGTATTATTGACCTGAGATAATCTTAAAATTGCCTAATACACCATGTTTTCCTAGACACAAATCATGTGCTGCCCAAGTAGTGGTGAGTACTGTCCTACATTCATATGTTGCAGGAGAAAAATCATTTAAGCACTCAGAGGAATGCACCAGCAATGTCTTAAAGGAACACTGTAGACACTTTAACACCTTCATGTTATAGAAGTTGTTATAGTGTCTGCCCCCTCACCCCCCCCTTTCCCAATCCCATCACTAAAATTCTGAATTTCAGTAATAAGAAAGCTTGGAAGTATGGTTTCAAGCCCCAACTCCAAGCGCTTTGGGTATGAGAACCGGGAATCTTACTTTCCAGCTCTCATGCCGTAACATACCATGACATCACACTCAAATGCGCAATGCTGCTGTCATGGTTGACCATAAAAAATACAATTATCCTCTAGGAAGAAATCGTAG